TGTGTGTGTGTGTTTTTATACCCACCATCAGAAAAGATGGGGGGTATATTGATTTTGTCATTCCGTTTGTAACACATCGAAATATTGGTCATAGACCCACAAAAGTATATATATTCTGGGTCCTCATTAAATTCTAAGTCGATCTAGCCATGTCTGTCCGTCTGTCCGTCCGTCCGTCCGTCTGTCTGTCTGTCTGTTGAAAGCACGATAGAGTCCCAATGGAAAGAGCTAGAGGATTGAAATTTTACATAAATATTTCTAACAGGTAAGGTTTGTTTGGTATTGAAAATGGGCAATATCGGTCCACATTTTCTGATAGCCCCCATACAAGTGGCCCCTCGAAAAGCAGCTTTAACAGCCATAACTTGTTTAAAAATACGAATATAGCGATAAAATTCGGCATATGGAAGTTTCTTATGATTTAAAATCATTATGCAAAATCTTATGAGGATCGGTTCATAATTGACCCTACCCCCCATATAAGGTCCCCTTCAGAAAATGACTTTAACGCTCATTACTGGCTTAAAAATACTAGTATATAGATGAAATTCGACATAAGTAAGTTTCATACGAGTCAAAATCTATCTAAAAAAATTTATGAGGATAGGTCCATGATTGACTCTACCCCCAATATAAGGTCCCCTTAAAAAAATGACTGCAACGCTCATTAATGGCTTAAAAATACGAGTGTAGCGATGAAATTCGACACAAATAAATTTAATACGAACCAAATTCTGTCTACCAAATTATATTAGGATCGACCCATAATTGACCCTACCCCCTATATAAGGTCCCCTTCAGAAAATTACTTTAACGCTTATAACTGGCCTAAAAAATACGAGTATATAGATGAAGTTGGACATAAGTAAGTTTCATTCTAGTCAAACGAGGTTTGATGGTGGGTATATAAGATTCGGCATTGCCGAATATAACACTCTTACTTGTTTCTACATGATTCAGCAGAGTTCTAGTTCTCAAACATCACTTGTTATCTTGATTTTGCCAATGGGCGATAACTGATGGATGAAACTGCCACTTTTTTTCACTCTGTACTTTTAATTCGGATGCTGTCACAGCAACAATGTTCTTAATTTTAGTTCGGTTCGAAGGAGATTGTTTTGTACGCAACGTGCGGTCACACTTCTGCGTTTGACAAGTGGGTGTCACCAGCTGTGGGAATTTTGATGTTTTTGGCGTTTGTACATTTGTAAAAGGATGTCGGGGTACAAGTAAATTTGTGTGTACGTGTGCAGCGTGAGAGCTAATTTTTTGCTTAAAAACATTAATTTACTTTAAATTATAGCTAATTTGGGATTTTGAAACACAATGCCAAAATCTAAAAGGTCTCTTTAAGGGTTTAAATTTAACACAATAAATTGTTTAATAATTCTTAATAATTTGTAAATTACTTAATACCCGCTTGTCAATAGCAAGTAAAAATAAGTAATAATGCTTATTACTTACTTAAATGAAGTTGTAAGAGCTGAATTGGTAAATATTAATAATTTTCGGACAATCTTCATATAAATTAATTTAGTTAAGACTTACCGCATAGATTTATCTGAAAAGAAGAAAGAATGGAATTAGTTAAGAAATTGTTTCGCAAAGGGATTTCAGGATTATTACTAGAAACAACATCTTATGCAAATTGAAATTATTGTTATAAAAATATTCATTTTATAAGCACTCTAAAGCAGCTTCGGCTGCATTACTCCTCCGCCTTGGAGATCAAGGCGAGGTTTTAGTATTGATCCAAGAGCCGTTGACCCATAACGGCAACAGTCTTGGACTCAATGCAACAGGCTACAAACTTTTGAATGTAAAAAGCACAGGTAAAATTAGATCCTGTATATTCGCCAAAAAACCCCATAAATATCTTCATTTTATCTGATTACTGTGATGAAGATACAGTAACTGCAGCATGGGAGATAGAGGAATCCGCCCTGTGGATCCTCTCTTGCTATATGGCTCACGACCAGACTGACCCCTCCTCCCAGTAATACGGTCATCCGGGCAATTCGTGCAACAAACTCAACCCGCACTTCTGTCATCTTGGGCACAGATGCAAATGTCCACCATACGATCTGGGGTAGCAGCAACATCAACACACGTGGTAAGTACATTATAGATTTCATACTTAACCATAACTTAGTTGAAGTAAACAAAGGCTCGGAACCTACCTTCGTAGTTGCAAATCGACAGGAGGTACTGGATATAACGCTTGTAAGTGCAAGCCATTCTCATTTAGTTCGCAATTGGAAAGTTTCGGATGAATGTTCTTTTTCAGATCATCGTTATCTCGAATTCTCATTAGGTTTAAAAATAAGGTTAGGAACGCCAAAAGCAAGTCTTGGAAGAATCACAGACCATTCAAAGCTTCATTCAAAAGCCTGACGGTAGATGGACAACGAGTGTGCATGAATCATTAACAGAATTGGTGAACACTCACATTCCTCGTAACTTGCTTCTGGATAACTCAGCGGCAAGATCATGCACCTTTTATCAGCATCCCGCCGACTTTCAATTCGTCGAGGATGTTATTAAGTGGGCGATGACCTTTGACCCATACAAATCCCCAGGCCCGGATGGTATCATATCTGCTGATCTACAGCACAACATAGATCTAGTTACAACTTGGCTACGAACAATATATAAAGCCTGCCTCACCTGGTCCATCATACTGACCAATGAATTAGGTGCAAAGTAACGTTCTTTCCAAAAAGTGGGAAGGTCACGCACACCAAAGCGAAGGACTATAGACCGATTAGTCTATCTTCCTTTCTGCTTACCTTAGAGAGAATCATTGACGCTCATATAAGAGCTTCACTGAACCCGTCTCTCCTATCGCCCTCTTAACACGCATACACCAAAGGCAAATCGGTTGAGACTGCACTGCATTCACTATTTGGTCACATAGAGAAATCACTTGAATTTGTCCTTTCTGGACATAGAAGGTGCTTTTAACAATGTAAAACCTGACATAATTCTATCAGCTCTGCATAAACTTAATGTAGATGCCCAATCACAAGTTTTAGAAGAGAACTTCTAGAACAACGGATCATCTGTAACAATATGGGCACAGCAACGATCTGGAGGCTGGAATATGCACTCAAAATACTAAGTCGATGGAGCTAACCCGAACTTATACTATTTACCAGGAAGTATAAGATTGACTCTTTTATACTGCATCGTCTGAACGGAGTTGAACTCCCACTTTCCGACTGTGCTAAATATCTAGGGATTATTCTTGATAGTAACTTATCATGGAAACCCAACATCATAGCAAGATCGACAAAGGCCATAACGGCAATGTACATTTGTAAGAAAGCTATAGGAGCAAAATGGGGGATAAAACCCGAATTAGTGAAATGAATTTTGAAAGCGATTATCAAGCCAATTCTGTTCTATGGAACAACCTTTTCGTGGAAAGCACTAAATATAAATTCAAATTGTAAAATCCTTGACGAGGTTCTAAGGAAAATGTCGATCCTGATAACTGGATCACTGGAATCAACTTCGACGAAATTCCTATTTGTGCTGCTTAATTGGATCCTGACGGACTTTTTGGCCAGTAAAATAGCATTCACAACGCCATTCAGACTGAATGCAATAAACCCATGATCGTACAGAGCATATGGACATGCTAGTATTACCGACAGGATAGGAAATCTACCGGTAAATATTGATTACTGCGTCCCCAAGCCCTTCCTCCATACAAACTTCAGTTTCATCATCTCGGAAAATACGGGACTGGAGGGAGATCGCTCTCTACGAAGCCTATCCGTGTACACAGATGGCTCAAAACGAGGAGAAAGGATTACTTTTTGAATCGGCAATGATTGTAATCCAATCCAGGCCGAAATATCGGTCATTAAAAGAACGGCAAACTGGCTCTGGTATCATAAGATATCGAACAGAGATATCCTAATCTGTACCGACAGTCAAGCTGCAATTAAGTCCCTAACAGGTGTCTACTCTACATCTCGACTAGTCCAGGAATGCCGGACATCCTTAAATAGGATGGCGAGACATTCAAACATCGTACTCGTATGGGTACGTGGATACGGGGACTCTACAGGCAATTGTATCGCTGACGAGCTCGCGAAGGCGGGTTCGCAGTTGCCCGGCTCAGACATAGACCATTTTTGTGGTACTCCGATAGGAGTATACAAAAGTCTTACAGATAACATGTTTTATGAACTCTCACAGGCAAGATGGGGAAATGAGCCAACTTGTACTCAAACAAAGAAGATATGGCCAAAGCTTGATAAAGAGCGCACAGACCATCTTCTAAGATATAGCCGAACCCAACATAGCAAAACTATAGATATCATCACAGGGTACTGTAAATTTGGTAACCACACAATGCGACTTGGATTACCTTACAACGACAACTGTAGAAGCTGTCAAGATGAGGAAGAAGATGAATCAATAGAACACCTTCTTTGTCACTGTCTTGCACTGGAGGACATCCGACTTCGGCATCTGGGACATCGATTTCTGGAGGACACCTCAGAATTACCAGGGACTAAAATTGATAACCTGAACGCCTTCATTGGTTTGACGAAACAAACTCAAATAGCACTGATTAGTAGCTTTTACGAGTCCAAGACTCTTTTCCTCTTATGTTCTTAATCTCTCCCTGTCTATCGTAATCTTCGACTTTCAGCATCTTCTACTACTATTAATACCCCTTAATGCCTCTTCACTATTGTCTTTTACTATAACTTTCTATGTCCTCTTCCTCTTTTCCTTTTAATATACTTACAGGTATCACAAAGGGACCAAAAGGACCCACGTGTGCATCTATTGCAGCCTAAACTACCAACCAACCAACCAAGTCCTTAAATAAATTTCCCTTGCCATAAGAAAAGGTTTGTATTTCGGCTAAACTATAATTGTGGTAGAAAACCAGGATAAATTAATAATGCTGCCATTAGTTCGTAAAGAATGCAAAGGGAAATATTGCCATATTTCTGTGCATAAGAGTGACGTTTCTATTACAACCCGGTGGCATCTTTCCAGCAAAAAAGCATTTTTTATTGTATTTTCTTTCGTTTACATTTATTTGTAATGTATTAATAAATCACTCAAATCTCAAATATTTTAATCTAAAAACGCTTAAAGAATATTAAAAGAAATACTTAAAGTAAAATACTATAAAAATGTCTACAAACAATAAGAATTCTTATGAAGATATAGACGAGGCAGAGGTAAGTAATCAACATGTTTTATTGTAGTAGGTAGTTCAGTACAGCCAGCCAAACAGCCCTCCCAACCAATCACAAACAATTTCATTTATTCAATGCTAATGTTTATATTTAGGAAGAGGCTTTGCTTAAGTCGGACGATGAAGGTGAAGGAGGCAAAACAAATATTTCCTTAAATTTATTAAGACCTCCCTCAGTTTCCTTGGCTACAGATTTAATTGATGATAATTCTTTGCTAAATGATAATCTATTGAAAGAATCAGTAGATGAGGGAGAAAATAATAATTTAGCTGATGCAGATTTATTAGCAGATGAAGAGATGTTGACTTTAGCTGAAGCCAATAAAGAGGAAGATAGTGACGATGAGGATGATGACGAGGACGATGTGGAAGATGAAGAACTTAAGAATCTTAAAGAATTTGATGCAATTCTAAAAGAATTGGAAGTTAATCAATATGCCTACGATAAATATGTGCGTTTATGTGAATTATCACAGTAAGTTTTGCAACAAAATTTTGTAATTAAACCAATTTTTAAAACATTTTTGTTATTTATAGCTCCACAGGTGATTTGGATAATATACGAAAAGCTTATCTTAGTTTCTCTTCGGTTTATCCCTTGACACCCGAACTGTGGCTAAAATACATTGAGGTAGAGTTAGTGGTGGCCCAAACTGCCCAGGAAATAGAACAAGTTAAGGAATTATTTCACAAAGCTTTGCAGGATTATTATTGTAAGAAATATCTTATAAAAAATGAACTTATTTTTATAAAAATACATAATTTGTTTCTTTTTCTTTTAGCCTGTGATTTGGCTTTGAAATTTGCCGACTTAGCCCAACGCTGCCAGGATCCTAAGGCAGTATGGCAGGAAATTTTAGGTACTTATGGCCTCAACTGTTTAAAAGGTCGTGAATTTTTTAAACTTTATCGTCAACAATTTGCCAAGGATTTAACAATACCAGAGCACTTAAATAATTATATACAAAGCTTTCTACAGGAACTACGTTTACCTCTAAACGAAATGGAAGAATCCTATATAGAATTTAAGGTTTATTATGAACGTAATAAGGAAAGTTTAACCGAGCACACCTTAGACTGGTCTGTTATCGATCAACGTTACTTTAAAGCCAAAGAACATCTTAAAAAGATAATTATATATGAGGATAAACTTAAGGGTTTGGAGGCGCAAGCTTATCGTGAAAGAGCCGAAGTATATTTTGAATATATTAAAGAATCGGATAAATTTTTAGATGAAAATGTTTTACAAACCCTATACGAACGTATGGTAGCTGATTGTTGCTTAAATGCAGAATGTTGGTTGAAATATATAGATTTTATCGACTATAGAGATGCTTTTGGACGTCCGGAGGATTTGCAAAATTTTCCCTTGTACGAACAAACTCCGGATGATATATGCAAACGAGCATTGCGTAATTGCACCTGGTCTCCGGAGTTGTATATAAAACGTATGATGATTCTGGAGAAAATGGAGAAACCTGTACAAGAGGTACAGGAAGTTTTGGAAACTGCTTTGGCGGCTGGTTTTCAAACTCCCGAACCGGCTGTTTCTATTTGGTTGGAGTATTTAACTTATTTGAGACGTCATACGGATTGGTTGAATCCAGATGAGTGTGAGGTTTTGAGAAAAAATTTCAATTTAGGTTGGACCATATTGGGCCAACAATGGGGTGTTTTGGCCGATTGTAACTGTGAGATTTTACAATTCTGGGGACGTTTGGAATATGGTCCTTTAAAGGATCCAAAAAAAGGCAAAGAATTGTGGACCACCGTAATGGGTAACTATAAACAAGAATTTTAAGTTAGTCAAAAATGCAATAACTTTATTTTTTAGAGAGTTCTGATAACTCAACGAAATCAGGTTTATGGATGGAATTTGCTTTATTGGAAATGAGACATGATTTAGAAGCTACACGCAAGTAGGTTTTTTCTCTTTAATTCGGTATAGAAATTTCTATTGATTGTTTTATTACTCAAGACTTTTTAGCAAAGCTTTACATAGCCCCGACTTGGACAATCCTTTAGTAATAGCCTCCGCCTGGGAAAGATTTGAAAGATGCAATGGCTCTATTAAGACCCTAAATAAATGTGTCAAAGAATGCAGCTATCTTAAGCAAAAGTACTTGCTTAACAACTCCTTTAATAAACCCGCCAAAACCAACAATTCTTCCAGTAAACCTACTAAAAGAAAATTAAATGCACCTGAAAATGATTCTCCCCCAAAACAGCCAAAATTACAAAAAGCCGAAACCTCCAACCACAAAGTGGCAAATGAAAGCAAGGAGTCACAATTTAAAGAACATGAAAATCAAGAAATTGATCTTACTAAAGATCATTTGCGTATATTTTTATCAAATCTGGATTATAATTTAACAGAGGAGGTTATAATAGAAAATCTGCCTGAGTTAAAGATAGTCAATTTGGAATTAATACGTTCAGCTAGTGGTAAGAGTAGAGGTTTTGGCTATGCTGAATTGGAAACAGCGGTAAGTTTTTAGGTTTAAAGTTTTTTGGAAACTCTTAATTAAATGAATTTTTATTTCTTTAAAGGCCGAGGTGGAAAAAGCTTTAACTTTGGATCGTAAGAACATAAATGGACGCCCTCTATTTGTTTCCAGTGTTTTGCGTGATAAAGAGCAAAGGCAGAAATTTAAATATAATGCCGACAAGGAATTGCATAAATTATTTATAAAAAGTTTGCCTCAAGATTGCAATCAAACTGAATTGGAGGAGATATTCGGGGTCTATGGCAAATTGAAAGATGTTCGGCTGGTTTACCATAAGTAAGTATAAATCGGGGTTTTTCATGAGCGCCAAACTAATTTCATTCTAATTATTGTATTTCTTAATATTTTTCTATTATATAAATTCTTAAAGATCTGGTAAATTTAAACAAATCGCCTATGTGGAATACGAACAAGAGTCATCGGCAGGTAAAGCTGTTTTGGGCACAGATAATATGAATCTAAGAGGTCATAATGTAAGTTTTAAAATCATCCAAGGCATCATTTTTTCTATAAAAACATTATTTCCAATTACCTTTTTAGATATCGGTGGCAATTTCTGCACCTCCTCCTAAACCAACTACCAGTGCTGCGGCTAATCCCATAAAAATGTTGGGTTTAGCTCCCAAACGTAAAACTAATGAACAGAAGCCCCGAATGTCCTTAATACCAAATGTGGTAAGAAAAAATCTAAATACAAAACCAGTAGCAGCAGCAGCTAAGCCAGCAGCACAAACTTCCGGACCTCCCAAAAGTAATGATGATTTTCGTAAACTTTTGACAAAATAGTTTTATTTTTAATAAAATAATATGAAAGATAAATAAAAGTATTTTTGTAAAACAAAAAGAAATTTTTGAAAAAGAAAACAACTCAATTATAAAATACAACACACACACACACAAAATAAAATTAAAAGAAAAACTGCAATAAAGAAAAAAACTGAAACTATTTTATGAAAACAAACAAAAATTTCAAAAAACAATAATAAATTTACTTAAAAACCAAATGTCCTCTCAAAATCCTAATACTTCAGCAAAAGAAGAAAATTCTTTAATAAAATGTGTTGTAAGCCGCGAACATTTTGAGGAACTATTAAAATCCATTAAAGATAAATTTATTATAGTAGAATTTTATGCTGAATGGTGTGGTCCTTGTAAAATATTGGCCGTAAAATTTCAAGAACTGGCAGAAAAATATCAAAACAAGCTGGAGGTTTTAAAAATCAATATTGAAGATTTGGAAGAATTGGCCATTGAATATGAAGTCAATCAAATGCCATCTTATATGATTATGAGAAATGGTATGAAGTTGGAACAATTCTTTGGTAGTAAACCGGAACAGTTGAATGCTATGGTGGAGAAATATTTGGAAAAGTCAGTGTGAATTTGAAATGGAAACTAATTTGTAAATAAAAGTTTTAATGTCAAAATGTTCTTTGATGGCTTTTTACAAAAGCCTTGGAGGCTGGTATTTAAACTGCTAAACCGTTTCTTTATAATTGATTGGAAAACATTTTACTATATTGGGTCATTAATAGGGTGATTTCTCTCATTATAATTTTGAGATTTCACAAATTTTGGAATGTTTGGAATATGGTCCTTGAAAGAAATCATATTCCAAATTCAGTGCTTAAATGATTAATATATGTTCCATATAATATGAATAATAAATGGTTAACATGTGAATAATAAGGTCAAAAACTCAAATACTATATCTCGATCATATAGTACTTTTTTAAGCTTTTTAATCAAAAATATGAGGTTAGGTCGCAATTTTCACTAAAAGTTTTGAAACAAATTTTTGCGAATCAAATAATAATATTAATTTTGAAGTTATGTATCTCCACGTCGTCTACATTTTTGTTACTGTATTAACAGCACTTGCAATTCGTTACAAACCGAAAAGTAGCTGCCAAAATGCTACTTTTCTGACTGTAACGGATTGCAAACAAATAACCTCTGAACGAGGGTCATACCAGCTAAAGAACATAAAGTCTTGCAGGATAAACAGAGGCGCTGGAGGAGTCATCACAACAGCAACTAACATGCTTAGCAAATTTAATCAAAATTTCAATTACATTTAAAGACTTAAGCCAAAGAATAATACTTAAGCATTTTGACACAATAAATTCAATTCACAAAATTTGTTAGGTTATGTTGAAATTCAATTTCAACATTTCAATTTCAATATCGGAGATGTAGGTATATTTCTGTAAAGGGTCATAATGAAAAGTCTGAGTTTTAGTAAATATAGTTTTCCATAAAATTCCAATTGAATTGCCCAAAGCCCAAGAATGCCTAAAAAACTTTTATCGATTTAGTTTAATGCGATGGCAACTTCTAAATCAGAATATTTAAAAATTTATTTTTTCTTTCAAATTTCATTATTTTCCCACAAACATGACCTCCAATTCCAAAAACAAAACCACGGGCTCAACAACTAAACAAAGACTATCGGAAGATTCTACCACTGTTAACATAACCTCCAATATAAATCTCCTTATCCTAGCCAATAAAAATGATTTTTATAAAATTCTCAAAGAAACCAATAATCGTTTGCTGGTAATTGAATTCTTTGCCCACTGGTGTGGACCTTGTAAGATATTGGCCTCTAAATTAGAGCAAGTAGCAGAGGCCTATAAAGGCAAAATATTAATAGTTAAAGTAGATGTAGATGAATTTGAGGATTTAGCGATGGAATACGATGTTTCCGCCATGCCCACTTTTATGCTAATGAAAAATCAACAGAAGTTGGAACAATTCTCGAGTAGTAATGCACAGACTTTGGATCAAAATTTGGAAAAGTATGCTGGGAAGCCAGAATTAAGTGGAAATGGTAAGGGAAGCAGAGGAGCTCAGGAGGGTTTAAAGGACAAGGATAAACAGAAAAGGGGCAGTAAAAAGGAGTAAATTTATATGTTACACGTTTTTCATTAAAATTTTTGTATACTTTGAACCGAAAATTTTAATAAATTTTGTTAATAAATTTTTGGTGATGTCGGTCTAATTTATTAATAGAGGTCAAGTATCATTTATATTTGGTGCTGATAAAACAGATGATTCTGAGGACAAATTACCACGCTCGATATCAATTGAAATCTATTCAAAATTGAAATGATTACAGGAAATAGAGTACGAAATATTTTTTTTTTTTTTTTTCAATTTAGAAAACTCTGGCCAACTGTCAATTATAATAGAAAAATTTAAAAAAATCCAGTTAATTAATTTCAAAAATTATAAAAAATCCTGATATTTTAAACAACATGGCCTATAATGTACTCAATAAAAACGACTTTGAGCTGGAGCTTGAAGATGCCGATGGTAAATTGGTTATCATCGATTTCTATGCCAATTGGTGTGCACCCTGTAAAATTATCAATCCCCAACTGGAGGAGTTATCGGTGCAATATGCGAATAAAGTAAAATTTCTAAAAGTTAATGTGGATGATTGTGAGGATATAGCCATGGCTTATAATGTCACCAGTATGCCTACGTTTGTTTTTGTAAGAGATCAGCAGATAATTGATGTTTTGGTGGGTGGTAATGTGGAGAAATTGGTTAAAAATATGGAGAAATATATGAAAGAAGATGGAGATACTATAGAGAAGTATACGGGTGTTGTAGAAGAAGTGGAGGAGGGATTAGAGGTGGAAGATTTTGAGTTGGAAAATGATTTGGATGTGGAGAGCTTGCCGGAGGATCCTTCAGCAGTTTTGGAAATTATTGTTGATGAATCAATGTAGTTTTTAATTTGAAATAAAATATGTTTTATAATTTGTTGTGATTTTATAAAAATATGCGTTTTTTAATACAAAAAGACGTAAGTCATTTTATGCAAAAATACTTATATTAAAATTTTCCCAATGAAAATATTTAATATGTTTTATTTTATTAGTATAACAAGTTTCTTTAGAAAATTTCAATAGAAAATATCAGTATAATAGTTCTTTCTAAGGAAAAATATTCTTATATACATTCATATATATCATCATATTTATATAACAGTTTTTTCGATAGAAATTGTATAACATTTGTATCAGTCTGTATAACAATTTTTCCTATACAATATTTCTATATAAAGTCTTCAGTATAACAGTTTTTTCTTTAGAAAACTTTCAGTATTAGTTTCAGTATTAGTTTCAACAGTTATTTCTATAGAAAATTGTCTATAAGAGTTTCACCTACAAAAAATTCTTGTATAATGGTTTGTTCTGTACAAAAATAACTGTATAACACTTTCTATAGAAAAGTATGGCAGTTTTTTTTTCAGAAAAAATTCTATAAGTTTCCTCTTACCAGAACTTGTAAGCAAATTTGTTGCTCCACTTACTTTTCCCGCTGGTCAGCAGCTGTTTGTCAAAAGATCTTAATAGCTTAATATAAAATAGACGAGTTTGTTTTTGTAATTATTTGTAAAATTGTATTTGTTTTACACATTAAATTAATTCATTCATTTTACACCACTTTGAAAATCTTAACTTTCAAAATGTGTTTAACAAAATCTTTTCTTTCCTACTAATGCAAAAATAGTTAATTCTAATTTGTAACCAAAGAAAGTAATCAAACTTCCTCCGATTCGCACGACTGACAAAAAGTATACAATATGAATTGTAAATATTTCATAAAACTACTTTTTGGCGAATGTTATTTTCATAGCATGTGAAGGTGTAATCTTGAAACCTTGTAAAGCTTCTTTGGCGGCATTACTCTGCAATTCAGTGGCAAATTCCACAAAAGCAATATCATGACGATTCGGCACCAAACGTACTTCCTTAAAGCCGGGGAATTGATTAAACAACATGGATAACATCATTTCGTTGGTTTCCTCCGGTAGATTGGTAAGGAAAAGAATTTGATTGGGCGGCTGTTCGGTTTGGGTATTGGGATTGGCATTCTCCGCATTGCTGGTCTTTTTCTTTTTGTCTCTGTTAGCACAAAAAATCAAAGATTTTAATATAAATTCTCTAAATAACAAATAAAAACTTACTTTTTATCCTCCACTGGCTGCACAGGCTTTGGCGGCTTCAATTTCTTGGGTCTTTCCTTGAAGGTACCCTTTATTTTGGCCACCACATCTGAGTCGGTCTTAGCGTATGCTATACGCATGGGTTTATCATAAAAAGGAAATCCTTGCATAGTCCGAAGGGCATTGGATGCACTACCGATTTCTTTGAATATAACAAAAGCCTGACCACGCATTTTTAGTGTTTTCAAAGCCACTATATCCAAAATCTGTCCAAATTGTGAAAAAATGGCGTAGAGTGACTTTTTCAATTCTTCTTTTTTGATTTTCTCATTAAGATTGTTAATGTATATGGTTTGGTTTGGTCGCACATCCATGTTGCTAGAACTTTTTATTTATTTACTTGATATTTTATTAAAAATCTTTATATTTTATAGAAAATTTGTTAAAAATGAAAAAACCGCATAAAATTTAGACGTTTAATAAACGTTTGTGTGTGTGTATAAAATGCTTGTTTCAGAAATGTCAAAAAGTGGAACAAAGTGGAATGAAATGAAAATTAGGAATAGTTTGGTAAAATATACACACAGAAAAAATGTGTATTATATTACAGAAAGAGAATATGTATGTAATTAATGAATAATGCTATCCAGGATGCACTAAGTAAGGTGAAATCGTTAAGGCAGCTGATTTTTATTTGTTTATTTAAAAAGTGCTTGGGTTGTGTCAAAATGAATTAATTTATTTTTATTCTAAAAAAAAATTATATTTGTGTTTTCAAAGCAATAAAATTTAAAATTTAAAATTATGAATTAAAATGTTCATGGAAAGTTTTCAAATAAGAAAACTCAAATGAAGAAGCATTAAAACATTGTCCTGCTGCAGATACAAGCTAAATGTAACGACGGTTTTATAGGTAATTTTGTGAAATACACAAAAACTATTTCATTCTAATGTTTAATATTTTTCAATTTTAGAAATTTTATTTTGACAAATCCCAACTCTAGACAACAAAAAAATATTGTGTTTGTTGCCGAAACGCTCTCACCTTACTTATTACATCATGATGCTATCTATTTTTTAAATAAATTTGAGTTTATTTATTATGCGTGTATTACAGTTTTCTTTAAAATGCTAATACACGCATTTTTTAAAGAATAATGAGTTATTAGTTATTTCTATAGTAAAATGTTAGGGATACAGTATCTAATATATTTAAAAAATTTATATATTTAGAACTATTTTGTAGAAAAATGTGTTATAATTCTTTTGTAAGTTTTCTCTAGGAAGATTGGTGTATAAAAGTTGTTTTCTTAAAACAAAATATAATTGTATAACAGTATTTTCTGTAAAAAAAGTAAATCACATTTATATATCACTTTTCTTCTCGCTTGATTTAATCTACAAATATGTATAATGAATACCCAAAGAATTAAAAACCTTTGTCTGGCATCTCTTTCACAACGTACAGGGTGTAATTGTGAATGAGTCAGAAACATTTTACTGAGGCTAAGCAAATATCCGTTTTTCATATATACGAAGTAGAACCTCGGAGTCGAGGACCTCGACTCGAGGTATTTCAACACCATAAGGAATATATAATATATATAATTCCTTATTAAATTATTAAAATTATTATAGTTGAACTCAGCGAAATTCACAATTTAATGAAAAAGTTGTGCCAAGTTTGTTATCAACTTGGTAGCATTGTCTGGCTATTGTAAATATAAATATATATTCTGCATATTTACAAAGTGACAACAGTACTTGCTTTACAACAAATTTCTACAACAACCACAGGGAAAATGTTTGTTATACGGCTATGAATCTGTCAAAAATTACCTGTTGTTGTTGTTATTTTTACGTTTGAAAAAAATAATCAGCTGTACTTATGTCGCCACAATGTCGAAAAATCAAAACGACGTTTTGTATAAAATTGTGTGAGATCGTGCGTGTGTGTGTGTGTTCATATTTTCTACATTTTTGTAAATTATTTTTTATACAAGTTTTTCTTTTTAATTTTTATTTTTTATTTAATTTACACTAAAAATATACAATATAAAATTAATAAAACGAGAGTAATAAAACTACCACATAGTGCCTCAAATAAAAAACGAAAAAATCTTAACAAAAATTTGTTAATGATTTAAAAAAAAGTGAAGAAAGAAAATATCTAGAAAAAAGAAAAACAAAGAAAGCAAAGAAAGAAAACACAGTTAACAAGAGTGAAAAATTCATTAGAAAAATGTCGAAAAATAAATTTCATACATTACCGAATGCAGATACACATATCGTGGAAGTGAAATCAAAGGTAATACCTACAACACAAAATTTATAAAGTTTAAAGCAACAACCTTAAATGGTCATAAAAGTAATTGTAAGGGAAACTAAAAAGAAAAGTGTTTGTAAAACAAGCCTGCTCTTAAAACCCTTTACAAGTTTCTTTTTTTCTAGAAATATGTTGAAATTTTTCTCGGGGAACTTGTGTGTTAAGCCCAAATAGAGTTTGTTTGTTGCATATGAGTGGTATGATTCATGTTTTGTATGCTGTTTATTTGTTGTCGCTCCACCTCCTCCGGCTCTTGCCGTCTTTGGCTACAAAGCCGCCCCTTGTATTTCATTTCAAGTTCGCTTGTATAATATTTGAACTGTATCCAAGATGCATTGTCTCGTAATTAATGTGTGATGAATGCAAATCAATCAAGCTTTGCCAAATGCAGCTGTTAAGTTACTAGTTTTTTGCCTCTATTTCGTTTAGTCTAGTCTATTGCGTACTTAAGCAAATAAGTAAACGAAATACAAAAAATGGGTGGATCACGGTCATATTAGAACAATTGCTTAGAAACTAGCATACTGTATTTTTCTATAGGGCCATAATTTTGGTTATAATCGGCGGCAGTTTGTTTTTGCCAACATAATTTTAGTTTAGATTTTTGTTGTTCTTTTTGAGTTTGTCTTTTGAATTTTTAATTTAATTTTAAAGTTTATTTACTGTACTGTGTCACATTTCATAATTCATACCTACCTGTTGATTCATTTTCATGAATGTGTTCAAAACGGGGTGGGTTGTTGCTTTATTATTGGAATTACAACTAAGATGAGAACAATGTATCATTATTGTTGATTTTTTGTTAATAAAGACAATATTTTTAGAAATTACAGACGGATTTTTTCTTAATTAAAGTTGGTATAAATGTAATACATGTAGCTAAAAGGGTCTAGTATTTTTCTTATTGGATTATGAACGTGAGAATATCTTCTCTGAAACAAACCTACATATTTCCTAATTTTACAGCATTTTCTGGATTCTACTATAAGTAGCTAATATTTTTAGATCATATTGATAAGACCAGATAGGAGACCGGTAAGAGCAATAATACTCAAACATAGATCTGCTGTATACCTATGTATAACAGTTTTATAGTTAAAAAATGTATATTCCAATAAATTTTCTATAAAATATTCGCCATATAAAAATTAGTTTAGTATAAAAGTTTTTCTATAGAAAAATTTGTGTATAACAGTTTCTACTATAGAAAAATTTGTGTGTAACAGTTATTGGAATTGCAAATAGGACGAACAAATTGTATACAACTACTTTTTCTGTAGAAAATTTTATTTATAACAGTTTTTCCTATAGAAACTTTTTGTATAAGAGATTTTCTATAGACAAATTTTTGAATAACTGTTTTTTTTCTATGAAAACATTTGTGTATAAGAGTTTTCTATAGAAAATTTGTGTAAAACTGTTTTTCTATAGAAAACATTGTGTAGATTACTTTTGTATAACAGTTTCTGTTGGAAAAATTTGTGTACAACTGCTTGTGTATAGAAGTTTTCTCTATAGAACACTCTATGATACAGTTTTTTCTATAAACATAATTTGTTCCTGTAGAAAAATTTTTGTATAACAGTTTTTTCTAGACAACTTTCAGTTTTATTTGGAGAATAAAGTGTGTAATAGTTTTCTGTATAAAAAATTACAGTAAATCAGTTGCTTCCTTTGTTAAATTGTTAAAAATTGTTTGAAAATCGAATCTTTTTTAGATAAAATATGGATGTTTGTGAAAATTATAAATTTTTTTTCTTTCCCCACTTAGTTCGACGCTGAATTCCGACGATTTGGACTGAAACGTACCGAAGAACCACCAAGTTTTGAAAATTTCAATGCTCTCGTCAAACAGCTACACGGTCTAGCCAATTTACCCTTCCTAATACGTTACATCGATCCACGCGATCATGAGCTGCTGCCCATTAACAACGATGACAATTTTGGCAGAGCTCTCAAGACAGCGCAACCGATTTTGCGCATCATCATACAACGTGAAGAGGACATCGAATATGGACTACCGAAACTACAACGCGGTAATTTCAATTTAATCGGCATGCTGAGTCAGACACCGAACAAAACGAGAGCACCACCAATTTCAATGCCACAAGATTTTCGTCAGGTATCGGCTATTATTGATGTCGATATTGTACCGGAAACACACAGACGTGTACGTTTGCTAAAACATGGCAGTGATAAGCCATTGGGTTTCTATATACGTGATGGTACATCAGTGCGTGTTACCCCCAATGGTTTGGAAAAACAACCGGGTATATTTATATCACGTTTAGTGCCGGGTGGTTTGGCGGAAAGTACTGGTTTATTGGCCGTCAATGATGAGGTTATAGAAGTTAATGGTATTGAAGTGGCAGGAAAGACATTAGATCAGGTGAGCATAAAATTAAATTTTAAACTCATAATTGTTTCTTAATTATTTAATTTTCCCCTTTCTAGGTTACCGACATGATGGTGGCCAATAGCTCAAATCTTATTATCACCTTTAAACCGGCCAATCAACGTACCTTAACCTCTCCGCGTCGTGGTTCCTTTTCACGTACTAGTCAATTGTCTAGTGGTTCGCATCACACTAATCATACCAACACATCCGATGAATTGGAACAAGATGATCAAGATGAGATTGTAGACTTAACCGGTGTAACATTAGATGATAATACCGGTAGCGGTGGTGGCGGCAGTAGTGCTAACGGTGATGGTGTCTTACATCTTTGAGTCACAAACAACAACATCAGCAACAACATGTAATTGTAATGTTTAATATCATTTATTATTTTTATTTGATTTTCTTTTTATTTATCTTTTTTTAAGATTTCCTTTTTTTAATTTAAATTATGAGGTTCCAAATTTGTCTGTCCGTTTGAGTTAAGTTTTCAAAGTATTATTTCCGAACATGTTAAAACGATATGTATTATTAGGACTTTATTAGTGTCTCTTTAAAGTTTATTGACAATCGCAAGTTTTTCTGTTTTATTGAATAAAATAAGAAACACTTCTTTTTTATTTATTGAAAATTTTAGCAAAAGTGTTTTTACTTTTGTAGTATAAATTGCATGCGAAAACTTTAGATAAAACATTTAAGGCAGAATAATTTTTGTTTTTTTAAGAAAAAGAAGGGAAAGTTTTTGTTTCGTTAGTATTAGCAGGATTTTGTTTAAGAAAAATTTGATTTCTAATATATAGGGTGATATTTTGTTGTTCAGTAAGATTTATTCTTTTTAAAACTGTTATACAGAGGTATTTTTACAGATAGATGCAGCTATACACAAACTTTTTAGGGAAATATAGTTTTTTCTATTGAGTAAACTGCTATAACGATTTTTTGTTAATAAAACTTTATTTTCTTGCAGTGTTATATAGAAATTATGTTGAAAATTCTATAAAGTATAACTGTTATACATAAGTTTTTTAATAGAAAAAAAACTATTAACTTTAAAACAAATGTTAAATAAAAACTGTTACGTTATCTTCAAAAATAACAGTTTTACTTAAAATTTTCTATCGATAAAACTGTTATAATAACTTCCTATGGATTTAGTCTTATACACACATCTTTTTACAAAAAAGTTTTATAATACTTGCAATTTTCAATAGAATAAACTATTATAGTCTCATTTTTGTATAGAGCAAAAACCGATATTTTTTAATAGAATAAAACTGTACTACTAAAGTTTTCTATAGAAAACTTTGTTATACTAAAATGTTAAATTAAAAACTAAAAAACTGTTATATTAAAAATTTTTCTTTAAAAAAACATTAATGTAGAAAAATTTCAATCGATAAAACTGTTATACTGATATTTTCTATGAAAAAAAACTGTTATACTGAAAATTTTATGTAAAAATGTGTTATACAGATACTTTTCTATAGAAAACTCTGTTATAATAAACTGTTCTGCAGTATTTTTTTTATAGAAAGTTCTGTTATACTTAAATTTTCTATTGAAAAATAGTTATACAGCCATTTTCTATCTAAAAAACTGTTATACTGAATGTTTTTTCCATAAAAAACTGTTATACTAAAATGTTTCTTTGTGTTTTTGGTGGAAATAACTGTTATACATATATATTTTTCTATAGAAAAACTGTTATACAAGTCAATTTTAGTAAAAAATCAGTTAGTGTATAATATGTAGACACTTTTCTAAAAAAAACTGTTAAATTGAAATTTTATATGAAAAAAAGGAAAAGTTTTTATAAATAGCTCTTTTACTAAACATTTTATACAGAAAAAATAGTTATATAGTAAATTTTCTATAGAAAATACTGTTATACAACAAGGTTTATCTCTTTTACCCTTTTTTATAGAATAGCTGATAACAAATTAACAGATTTGTTTGTAGAATTTATATTTTTTTTAAATTAACAATTTTAGCAATATCAAAAACTTTCCCTGATTTTTTCCAAAACAAAATGTAATTTGGCTTAATTTCAATATAAAAGTCTAACAGAATGTCAATTAAATGTTTTCATTATTATACCCGTGTTTCCTCTTTATGGCAATTAAAAAACTTGTGTTTCATTATTAAAATTCTTAAAAAAACTTAACACGCAAACATTATAAGTGGTATCAATAACTTAAAAGTATTTTTCTTTAATTTAAAACAAAACCAACCTTAAAATTGTATTATTTTATTATTATACTATGGAAGATTTTTAAAAAATGCTAATTCAAATTTTGGTTACTTAATTTTTTATTACTATTATGCCTGCCTTTAACAAAACGTCCTTTAACTAGAAAGAAAATTCCCTCCAACCAACAACAACTACACACCTCTTTATTGTATTACATTTTCTTATTAAAGTTTTTTTTATTGTTTTATTTAAACATTCCATTTAACATCAATTAATTATAAAACATATTGATAAAAACAAATTATTACACAAAAACAAAAAAACATATTTTTGTTTTAACACTTAAATTAATTTTAAGAAATAAAAAACATTTTCTAAGAAAAAAACAACAAAATTGTTTTAAAAACAATTTATTAAAAGAAAGAAAAACCACAACAACTACTTAATTTACTTAAACAAAAGCCTTTTTATAAACTCTTAAACTTAAACTATAGTTCCAAAACAAAGAATTGATATATAAAGTAAAGAGATTTGTTAGTTACAACAAGAAAAAAAAAAAAAAAAACAACACCACTAGCATAAAAAAGCCTTAAAGATTTTTTCTATTTAATAAGTAAACAAGCATAAAGAAATCTATAAATTAGTTAAACTCACTAACTTTAAAACAAAAAGACACTTTATAAAAAAAAAAATACTAAAATAATTTTCAATTAAAAAGCAAAATTGTAATTAACACTAGAAAACCTTTTATAAACATATACAAAATGTAAGAACAATTTAAATTCCCTCTTCCAGATTGGCTTTAAAATTATGAATTTGTAAATCAAACAAAAAAATCTACAAAAATAACAATAATCACAATAAAGCATATTAAATATGTTTAATAATTACTACATACCAATTACTTTACACCAAGAAAACATAAACCAATTATAATTTGTATTAAAAACATTTCTCTGTATTAATTATATATGTTTCTTAAACAGCAATCCCTCAACTATTTACTCTAATTTGTAATTGTTTATAAAAACTATTCATTCCTAAAAGAAACAAATGCAAAATCATTTAATTGATTAACTACTATTAAATGTTTAAATGTGTTGTATTTTCTTGTTTATTTTATTGTCTCTTTAAAAAATATATTTACATATTTTTATTTATTGTTTTATTTTACATGTTTTTTTTCATATTTGTACTTTAATTTATATTATTAATTAAAAAAACAACAAACATTCCACTCAGACAAACAACAAAAAAAAAAAAAAAGAAGAAAATTAATCTATAGATTTATTTTTACAACATTTTCAAATCAAATTCATTTTCATCTATTATATCAAAAAATTTCATTAAAAACAAACATAAAATAAGCATGTGTCTTATAGTTCTATAAGAATGAAAATAAAAAATAAAGAAATAAAACAAATACAAAAAAGTGTTTATTATTCAACTAGCCGAGTATGGATCCGCGAAAGTGAAACTTGCTGAAAGTTCTCACGGAACAAAATTCTTTAAAATATTAGGTGGAAACCACTTAAGTCTTCAATCGAAGAAACGGTTAATTCTCCTGTTATATTGATATATCCCTCACTTTATCGTGGAATCTATTTCATAGCCATTTCAGCCTGAGATCTTGTATTATAGGACAGTGGCAGATGATGTGCTCAACCTTCTACAGTTCCTGGGATCAACGCTTTATAGTTCCGGTAGGATATTGTTTAACTTACTGATTGACGTAAAGCCTAATAAAACAATGTCCCGTTATTATAGCTATCAGATTCCTAAGACTACATCTATCTAGTGCCACAAGTATCCTGGTTGCTTTTGCATAAAATCTTGTCCATAAGGGCCTACATATTTCGCACTTGAGGGTCTGCAGTATTAATGAGATCCAAGCCAGTCGCTACTGTTGGAAACTCCATCATAGTTGAAGTCCCGAAATCTTTTTTTGTAAAATTTTAGTAGGTTCCTATGTGCCACACTCGCTACATAATGAAAATAGGAAGCCGCTTGTGGTGTGCTTCTTATTGCGCCTGTAATGTCCAAGGAGGCACACCGTTGAACTTTATTGTAAATCTTTCTATTCCAGTTCTTTCTCAAGACTTCCCACTAAACAATACATTTATACAACCATATCTGGTTACTGTTGTTGTAGCAACGACATCTGAAATTGCACATATATATGTTAAAAATTATTCCCTACTATTCCTCTTCGCTCTGGTTATCAGTCAGTCAGTTAGATCTGAACCCAGTAGACGAGCCTCATCTATCGGCTGAGTCCAAAGGCATTCAGGTTCCAGATAAGTTATATTTGCCCTGCAGTTGAAAAGGTGTTGAACATTGTGTGGGCCTGTGCCACACGCTGGACAGTGATCTTGAATGGTGTCGTTTATTCTCGACCAGTACGAGTTTAAATGGGTACACCATACCGATCAAAACTCTAGTACTACGTGATAGGTTTCGTTCCTCGTTTGTAACGGGTGGGGAACGACCTCCAAGTATAATACTATCGCGGTGGGATTTGATGGAGCGTTCCTCTGCTTTACGGTGTATAGTATTTCAAACTGTCTTGTATTAGCTTTCATCATCAATGTCATCCAGGTGTTCTTGGATGTCGCCCTCATACAGACGAAGATCATGCCTGGGGGTGAGTTCTAACTTCGTTGTGCAGGTGTTCTTCAGACGTAATTTAAATGCTGGTAGCGGCCGCTTATAATTTCCGATAATGTTCTTGTACGTATCGTAATTGTTGGGTTCCTTTTCATTCCTTCATTATTTCCTTACTGTTTAGGAAGGCCTCTAAATACTTGGGAGTTAATTCGACGCCGTATAATTTTGTCAGCCTGACAGTAACAGTTCTATCTGATGGGATTTACTGCTAGATCTTTCGTATTCGCCCAAGCTGAGAGTTCGCCTAGCGCAGTTTCCATTATATTATCACAGATCGTGGATAAAAATTATCTTTTGACCAACAACACTACGTCATCTGCATAGGCAAATTACCTTAAGATTAAAAAAGCCTTAGAATGCCGTTAACCGTATAAAGCACATAAGGGGCGATAAGACTCCTCCCTATGACGTCCCCTTTTTTCTAATGCAATCGTTTTATTCTAATACAATCGTTTGAGTTTATAATTCTTCTACTAAGCATGCAAACTATCTCTTGATCAGAAAGCCTCGAACTTGCTGCACTAGCTAATACGGAGCCAGAGTATAATCCCTATGATTAAGGCGTCCTTAATACTTAACACTCTCAATAGATTTTCCCTTAAAATCTGATGCATATTTTCTTGCAAGCACAAATCCGAAAACTAAAGGAACAGGATTGTGAAAGCACTAGATTGGTCGGTCTGCGGTAAATTATGCTGTGATGGTTTTCACTGAGTAAGAGCTGTTAGAGCTGTTGCGGAGTTCATTCTCACGACAATTGGGTCTTCGCTCCCGAAAGACCCCGAGTCATACTCGAATAGATTGTCAACTCAATCCTTGGACAATACTTTTTCTCCCTGGGGAGAACTATCGGTCACAGTCGAACTTTTACACATCAATAGGGGGTGTTGTAACTATTTAATACAACTGAGGTCGGGATGTGCAATATTAATATTTTTAGGAGACAATCAAATACAAATTTCTTCCTTAGTACTATACATGAGTTGTAATGAGTTGTGATTATCTAACAAGCAGTGTTGGTAGTTGCTTGTTATATACTAATGACACACCTGTATTCCCAAACAATTTCTACTCTAACAAGTGTAATTGTTTTTTTACACTCCCCCCGGTCAAGCCTTTTTTATGTAAATGAAGTGTCTAATATACACATTTTTTCAGCTCGCTATTAAACTTTAATCTAAAACAAAATATCTTACTAACAAATTTAACAGGTAGCAAACGAAAAACTATTAATTAAAGATAATTTGTAACGAAATTATCTATAAAGACAAAACAAAACCAATTTAACGCACTTTCAAATAAATTTAACTCAGTTAAATTTCTTTTTTGATACCATTTCCAAAAAGCGTTCACTGGGTAAAGTTTTAAAATGGTTTTAACCACTTTATATCAAGCAGCTAAAGAGACTTTAGTGGAATATTTTCAAAAAACCAGCCTAAATGGTTTTGGTTTACTTTACTATATAAGAAGACGTAAATATCAAAGGTGTGGGATTTTTTATTTTACTATTTAGTAGTTTAATTAGTTGTATAATATTTATTAAATTTTGTTTTCTTTTAGATTATTTTGGTTTATGTTCATTGTAATGGGTATTACTTTCGCTACTTATGTTTGTGGCACTACTTTGATATCTTTTCTTAGAGATCCTACAGTTACCGCTTTAGATACTCAAAAATATACGGTGTATAGTGTGCCATTTCCTTCGGTGGCTGTGTGCAGTAATAATAAGTTTAGTCGTGAGGCTGTTCGTAATTATGCTTTGGATATGTAAGTAAAGAGAGGGATACAAATTTACAGCCAAATTCTTATCAGATTGTACAGATCCAGTCCGATCACTTCGAATAAAAAAAGTGGTTGTACTAGTTTTAACTTTCTAATAGATTTTGCAAAGTTTTCGTCCACCAATTGTAGGGCAATATATAACCTCAATATTCCTGGCTAATTCCTTCATTAATTTCTTACACTACAACATATATAGTATCTTCAGGTTCTTAATCCAAAAGAATGAGAATAGATTGATTAATCTAGGGATCAGAATAATGTGGCCTTCTTTCAATGAGACACGAAATAGGAGGGGTATATCGAGGTGGATTGCAGTAATAACTAGATTCTGGGTGCTAGGCAAACATACCAGTCGAATTGGCCTCCCCTACGACTAATTTTGTCGCAATTACAATGACAGGGATAAAGATAAACAGCCTTCCAATTCCTCTTCGAATGCCTTGGCAATTATGTACATCTAAATGTAGGCTCAATGACCTATTTTTTACATTAGTATACATCAGACGGGTGGTATGGCCTTATTAAGGCGGAGTCTTTAGGTTTCTGGGAGAACAACGTCAAGAATAACATCCACATACATATAAAAATACAAAAAATTCGGATGCAATTCAAGTTCTAGAAGGGAATTCAAAACCAATCGTCTAATTTCGCGATCGTATTATTTTACATTCATGGATTTGTATTCTTTTCTTTAGCACTTTACGCAGTTTTGATTATAATCCTCCAGAATATTGGGAACATAAGTTACAACAGTTATCGGGTCTTTTGAATACCGATTCTATAGATTTTGATGAGGCCTTGAAGTTACACAATGATTTGGAAAATATATTCGGTGAACCCTTCAATACACGAAAGATTATCAAAATGTTGGCACCAAAATGTGAAGATTTAATAGTGAAATGTTTTTGGGCCGGGGAAATTATCGATTGTCGAGAACAATTTCAGCAAATGGCGTTTGGAGATGGAGCCTGTTGTGTATTCAACTATCAATATAAGAAGTAAGTCTAAAACTGAGTTCTTATCTAAAATGACCAACTTTTGAGAGGGCGAAAGAAATTGGCAGCTAATCAACTTTTAGACTCCAATATATCTGATATTTAAAATATTCTTCTATATTCTTTTATTCTCCAGAAATCCCAACTCTTTGTACTATCCCAATTCAACGGGTCCCGAAATGGGTTTAACTCTCATCTTAAACTCCACCACTTCCGACTATTTCTATGCCGAAGATAGTACAATTGGTTTTAATATTAAGCTATTTGGTACACAACGTATACCTGATGTCTCCATGGGAGAAATGGAAGAGTTTCATGTTTGTCCGGGAGAAGATGTCGATGTTAGATTGAAATTGGTATCCCAGAAAACCGTAGAAGATGCCCGCTCTCACAGTGTTCGTAAAAGAGGTTGTTACTTTCCCTATGAACATAAAGAGGCGGCCTTTGATAAATCGGAATGTTTATTAAAGTGTAAAATACGCAGTATAGAATCGTTGTGCAATTGTATACCATTTTATGCCTCCAAAGATGATATTGAGTCTAAGAAAGTGGATGAGCTTAAGGAGCAATGTACTCTAGCTAATTCGGAATGTTTGGAACGTTATAGAGGTACTTAGTAAAGAATTTTCACTGAGTTTCTATAATTTTTTCTTACAAGTGCATTTATCTTTCAGTTACTTGGCAAACTTATTACCCAGTAAATGTCGATATAAAATCTCATTTAAAGGAATTGCTTTCGGATTCTTTAACTTGTCCCGATTGCTTGCCGTTGTGTTCATATAATCGCTATTATTATCGTAAATATGTTAATCGATTAAGACATACCTTTAGGCAGCATATTAATGAAAAATATTTGTAAGTCTTTTTATCCACATTTTAAGAGATCTGTTTTTATAAAATTCTACATTTTTTAGAGGTTCTATATCTCAACTACCACGCGAATTGAGTCTTGTTAAAATCTTTTATCCTTCTGATATAGCCATCAGATACCAGAAGAATGTTCTTTATAATTGGTATCAAATTTTGTGTAAGTTTGAAGTAGTTTTTTTGAAAGATCAGCATTTTAATTATTTTATTTTTTTCGTTTTAGCCAATATCGGTGGAGTTATTGGCATTTGTATGGGCTGTTCCCTTATCAGTGGCATTGAGATAATATATTTTGGTTGTTATCGTTTGGTGGAAAGGTATTTGAAATTAAAAAAAAGTAAACAATAAAAATGTCAAATATTAAGCGAAAACACTCTTCTCAATTTTAATAATATTAAGATCACATTATTATCGGAATGTTTGTTCGTAATCGATAAACTCAAGAACCTATTGAATACCTAATGGGAAAAACCTTCAAGTGATTTTAAGAAATATTCTTGTTAAGTTAGAATATTTATCCGAACAGATTATTTTAAAATTTGAGAGTGCACATGTCCAGTCATGGGATTGCAACGCGGACCGTGCACCACTAGTGCTTTAGTTTTTTTTTATCACCAAACCTACAAATTGTTACCTTATCCAATATCTGTATAATTGCCTTAAAGTTTACGCAGGTGATTCAGCCCAGAGCAGCCTGAAAATTGTTCATTCTTTCATCAGACCTTATTTTTACGGGAAATTAACATCTTTAATGGTGGTTTATGGAAGTGACAAGTTTGGTTCAAGTTTTTCTTTATCTCGACAGGATAGGATTTGTTTTTGGTGTTTACGGATTTGGTCGTTTCGTATTGGACATGGACTAAAGTAACCCTTCTTCATCATTCAAAAACTACGATTGAGTTAAGATATTACTTCATCATTATCTTCAAACAAGATTACGTCAGGTCCATGGTCCTTCATTGATTGCTTACTATTCTGCATACACATTCTCTGAAGAGAAGATATCTAATGATCTTCAATATTGGGCCTAAACAGTATTTAGCAAAAAACAGTATTTAGTATGAGAAAAAAAATGTATATAAACTAGACTATAGACTAAGCTATTGAGCAGACTATAGTCCAGCCTATAGACCGGACTATGGTCCAGTCTATATACTAAACTATAATCCAGACTATCGACTACACTATTTTCCAGATTATCGACTAGTCTATAGTCCAGACTATTGACTAGATTATTGTCCATATATCCAAATTATAATATTAGACTGCTATACTATATATACTAGACTATAGTCCAGATTATTGACTAGATTATTGTCCATATATCCAGACTATAATATTAGACTGCTATATTTTATATGTATACTATATATAGTATACTATAATTATAGTCTGGATATATGGAAAATAATCTAGTCAATAGTCTGGACTATAGTCTAGTCGATAGTCTGGACTATAGTTTATTATATAGACTGGACTATAGTCCAGACCATATTCCATACTATAGACAACCAATTACTATAATCCAGAACATATGCTAGGGTACAGTCCAGAATATTCACTAGAATATAGATTAAATTACAGTCCAGTTTATTGACCAGACTAGACGGAAGTGTATACTATAGACAAAAGTCCAGACTAGTCTTTAGTCTACACTAACTACAGTCCAGACTATAGATAAGATTACAGACTAAGCATTATTCTTTATAGTCCAGACTATAAACTAGAATATAGTCCAGACATTATTCTAGACTATTGATTAGTCCAGACTTAAGACAATAGTCCAGAATATCGACTAGACTAAAATCCAGTCTATAAATACGTTTTCTTACTAAGGTAAGATCTTCTATATTCGGCCGTTCATTTCACTAAGCCCAGACAACAACCAGTCAATAACACAACCATTTCATCAAGAAACCAGTATTGAGTATGAGAAAAAATTAATTAATTTTAAATTCAAAATAACTTTAAGACGCGTCTCAAGAGAAGGAAGAATGGCAACAAACACAACACAAAAACGTAAATGTGCAAGCAGCTTAAAAAACAATTTGGTAACAACAACTTCTTTACAAGACAAACAAAACGCGACTATTCAGTTCATTACGGACTTGGCTAAGAGACGCACGTTGTTAACGCTTAAAATAAAAACTTGAATAAAATTAAAAAAATTTCAAAAATAAACGGTACAAAAAAACGTAATAAAATATAACAATTTTTATATAAAAACCGCATTTTAAGAAAAAAATTCAAAAATATACAAATTGTTGTTGGTACTCGTTGAAATTGTCTTTCGTAAAAAGAGAGCGAGCTGTTTTGAAAGAAAGAGTTAAGCGGGGCTTAAAAATAAGAGTCAAAAGCTAGTGATTTTTTTCGTTTTATTTGTTGTTGCAGTGACGTTAGTAGTAAAATAAAAAAAATAATTGTTTTGTTTTGTTGGTTGTTTTTTTTTTGTGGTGTGATTGAATGCAGTGATCAGCAGTGAATGAAATGCTGTTGACATTTTGTTTGCAATATTGTTATTATTGTTGTTGCTGTTATTAACGTCAAACGACGTTTTTGCACAAACCATGAAATAGTAGTGATTTAAAAGAAAGATAGATACAAAACAGCAGCAGCTTTAAAAGAAAAGAAAAGCAAAGTGTAATGTGAGACATAAATTGTGGTGACCATAAACACAATTCAATTTCTATAAAAAAAAGAAAATAGAATTGTTAAGGCAACAAAAAAACATTGAGCGTCACTAGAGGAGTAATGGCCATATGCTGGTTTTAAAAATAGTATGTTTTTTATAAATTGTTTAAAATAAAAATGTAAACCAAATCAAAAACCATCATTTGCAGCAACAGAAGCTTAAACAACAACAAGAAAAGCTAACACGGAGTACAGACTTATGGAAAGGAAATAAAACTATTAAAGAAACAACAATAACTATAAAATAAAAAACAAGTAGTGCAATCTGTGTAATGCATGCGTGTCTTCTTCTTGTGAACAATTTTTGTTTTGATTATTTTACTTCTCTTCTTTTTTGTGTAAATTTTAAGAATGTTATGCGTGTGAGTGCCTTAATGAAGAGTTTTAAAAGAGTTATTTGTTTAAGAAAGAACAGGAACAGAAATTATATACATAAATGGGTGATTTTTATTCAAAAATATTAAAATTTGCATAATTTTTAAGAAGAAACTGGATTATAGACTACATATTTTATTATATACATACATATGTATTAGACTATAGACTAGACAATGGTCCAGACTGTGGCTAGTTAGCCAACAGTTCAGACTATATATTGTAGAACACACTAAAAATAGATTAGATTCTACACTAAACTATAGTCCAAGTTAGATCCAAGTATCTTGGAAGTGATGTTATTCCGGAAATAACATTCATAACCAACACGATTGGAAGATTCTTAGGAATTACGTCCAGGAAACTGAGTTTCTGAACATGGAAAAATAATACATTCAGTGAACAATTTTTTTTTTTCTTGAATTGGAGCGCACAACAGGCCCGATAGTGGCCTAGATGTATTTCTTCGGATTTGATGTAGTATACATCCTCCTATCAACCTAACCTAACCTAACTAGACTATAGACTAGACTATAGACTAGACTATAGACTAAACTATAGACTAGACTATAGACTAGACTATAGACTAGACTATAGACTAGACTATAGACTAGACTATAGACTAGACTATAGACTAGACTATAGACTAGACTATAGACTAGACTATAGACTAGACTATAAACTAGACTATAGACTTGACTATAGACTTGACTATAGACTTGACTATAGACTTGACTATAGACTAGACTATAGACTTGACTATAGACTAGACTATAGACTAGACTATAGACTAGACTATAGACTAGACTATAGACTAGACTATAGACTAGACTATAGACTAGACTATAGACTAGACTATAGACTAGACTATAGACTAGACTATAGACTAGACTATAGACTAGACTAGACTAGACTATAGACTAGACTATAGACTAGACTATAGACTAGACTATAGACTAGACTATAGACTAGACTATAGACTAGACTATAGACTAGACTATAGACTAGACTATAGACTAGACTATAGACTAGACTATAGACTAGACTATAGACTAGACTATAGACTAGACTATAGACTAGACTATAGACTAGACTATAGACTAGACTATAGACTAGACTATACTAGACTAGACTACTATAGACTAGACTATAGACTAGACTATAGACTAGACTATAGACTAGACTATAGACTAGACTATAGACTATAGACTAGACTAGACTATAGACTAGACTATAGACTAGACTATAGACTAGACTATAGACTATAGACTAGACTAGACTATAGACTAGACTATAGACTAGACTATATACTGGACTATAGACAAGACTATAGACTATATATATATACATATATGTATACAAGACTATATAGACAGACTAAAGAATACACTATAGACTAGACTATACACTAGATTATATACTGTACTATAGATTACTATAAAGATTAGGCTACAGTTTAGTTCTTTTTGCTAGATTGTATTCCAGACTACATTAAGGTCCACAGTAATAACTAGACTGTAGTCTAGAATTTATAATCTCAACTGTAGCTCAATACTGGACTAAAGTTATGAACTAAATAAATACACTCTTTTAATGCTCTGCCTTGCATTTTTTGACGGAAAAAGCTAAACATATGTAGACAACAACAGCGAAAATTACAACCTACAAGTAAAAATATTCAACACAACAACAATGTCTTCTTCAAGTTTTTTTAATGTAGTTTTTCAAGCAGTTGCGGCACCAGTGAAGTAGAAAGTCTTCCAAGTCTTTCTTTTAACACTTAAAATACAGACCACACCACAAAACCAACCACAACGAATGCAATTTAAAGAGAAGTGAAAAACTTAACAAACAAATAATAAGGCGGAAATTTTCACGCGCGTACTTAAACAATTTGACAAAATTTCTTTAAAAAAATTAAATTTAATAAGAAAAACATGAAAAAAATGTGTTAAAATAAAAAGTCTATAATTAATATTATCAAAAATAAAAAATAACAAAATTTTTTCAACAAAACAAGAAAACAAGTCACTTTTATTTTTTAACAGAAATAACAACAACTGTAGTAAAACTGCAATTTAAATAATTATATGTAGTATATTGTGTATGATTTGTTTTTCTCCCAGTTTTGCAAAAAATAAACAAGTTTTTTTTTTCTTCTTAACCTTAAGTTTAGGAGAACAACAACAAGTTTCTTCTAGAGAAAAACAAAAACAACTATAAACAATCTAAACTAATAATCTAATGCAAGAAATAAATATTATATAAAAATTTTAAAATTCAAAACCGTTAAAATACAAGATTTTGATTTTATTAATGCTGCACTAAAAAGAATAACAACAACAACAAGACACACACGAATTGGCGTAAGAATAAATAAATAATATTAAATAAATAAATATTTATTTATATATTTTTCGAACACATCAACGAATATGTCGGATATTTACTATTGCAGTAAGGTAAGTTGCACCTTTATATATCTATTTGTATACTCTACAACGAAGAGATTGGGGACTAAAGTATGGACTAGACTAAATTCTACACTATTGAGTAGACTGTAGACTAGACTGTAATCCATATTGTGAACTCTACTATAGTCTAGATTATAGATCAGACTATAGTCCACACTATAGAATAGACTATAGTCCATATAATGGACTAAACTATGGATTAGTTAACACCATAGTCTTGACAGATTATAAACTAGACTGTTGTGTAGACTATATGCTAAACTGTAGTCCAGAAAATAGGATTGTCAAGTCAGCCAATATACTATCCAGACTTGAAAATAGTTCAGAATATAGACCATTGTCTTAACTATAGTCCATATTATAGACTAGACAATTGACTAGATTATAGACCATACTGACTAGATTAGTTTGGACAATAGAATAAACTATAATACAGACTATAGACTTGATTACAGTTCATTCTATAGACTATACTATTAACTAAACTATAGACAAGACTATAATCCAGATAATGAACCAAACTATAGACTGAATTATAGTCCAGACAATATACTCGAGTACAGTTCACACTACAGACAAGACTATATTGAGACTATAAGTTAGGCCTTTGGCTAGAATATAATTCAGACTATTGACTAAACTATTGTTCAGACCGTAAAATAGACTATAGTTTAAAGTATAATTCAGACTATATTCTATATTTCAACTATAGGCTAGGTTAGACAGCAGTTCAGAATATAGATTAGACTATTGTTCAGTTTGTATAGTACAGTTCAGACTATAATACAGACTATAGTAAAGACTATTATTTGAGACCGCCGGATTCGCGAACTTGTAATCTAACGACAGACTTGACTATAGATAAGACAACATTTTGTAGGGTAACATATAATCAAAACTGCACGACTATACTTTCTTACTTGTTTTATTCCATTCTATACCAATTTTATTTCATTTCGTGTATAAAATTATTTTTTTTTTATATTTTTAAGTTAAACTTGATAAGAATTGTGGCTGTAGGCCAGTTAGCCTTGTTAATATATGTATGTCTGTGGTTGGGTTTTGTTGTTTAAAACTCCAGTTAAAAAGTTGTCTAAACGGTCAACAGCAACAACTCATGTGTATAGAGTTGGTACAGTGAGAGAAAAGTGGGAGTAATTACCTTAAAAAAAACACGTATTAGGAACTAAAAATAACTGTAACAGTTTTAATTGCAATTTAAAGAGAGTGGGAAAAGAGAGGGTTTGATATAGTTAGAGGGATCGCGAATTAGAGAGCAAAAAGTAACAGTAATAGGAACTTCAAAATGACCATGTTGTCTGTGGCTGTTGGTGGTTAGTTGTCTGCACAAAAAAAGAAGTTTTCCGCGTTCTTTTTTGTTTTTTCTTGATTGTTTTGCATTAGCAGGTGCTTTTTTCTTGTTTCTGTTTCTTTTAACGCTATTGATTATTCAACAACTTAATTGTTATTTAGAGGTGATTAAATTTTTTAATTATTGTTAATATATAATTTAATTGAGTTAAGATTTTATATAACAAAATAGTGTTTGAAATAGAAAATAACGAGGTTGGTTAACAAAAAAAATTATAAAAACAGAAAAGAATTTTTTGTTGTTAAGAGCTAAAAAATGCATTTTTCTAAATTAAATGCTAATATTTATTTATTAAATACTAATATTAAACCATTTTTTAAGATTAAACCTTTTAAGAAATAGTTGTCTTATTTAATAAATTAATAAACATTAACTGTCAAGTTAAATTGTTTAAAGTTATTTTATAAAAATTCCATAACTTGCAATAATTTTAAGTGGTCATTAAAACAAAAAAGTATAAAACGATAAATTAGCAAAAAATTTAAAAAATTATTAATATTTGTCAAAAACAATAAAAATACCTTGAGATATTTTTGGCGTCGAAAATAAATTTTCAAGCATAGGCCTTGTAAACTTTACCAGTTATAATAAATAATTTTTAATAAATGCTGATATAATTTACAAAAAACTGCTGACAAGATTTTTTTTAATTTTTTATAAAAATTAAAGGGTTAAATATAAAGAGTTTCTTTTAGACTATAGACCAGACTATAGACTAGACTATAAACTAGACTATAGACCAGACTATAGACTAGACTATAAACTAGACTATAGACTAGACTATAGACTAGACTATAGACTAGACTATAGACTAGACTATAGACTAGACTATAGACTAGACTATAGACTAGACTATAGACTAGACTATAGACTAGACTATAGACTAGACTATAGACTAGACTATAGACTAGACTATAGACTAGACTATAGACTAGACTATAGACTAGACTATAGACTAGACTATAGACTAGACTATAGACTAGACTATAGACTAGACTATAGACTAGACTATAGACTAGACTATAGACTAGACTATAGACTAGACTATAGACTAGACTATAGACTAGACTATAGAGTAGACTATAGACTAGACTATAGACTAGACTATAGACTAGACTATAGACTAGACTATAGACTAGACTATAGACTAGACTATAGACTAGACTATAGACTAGACTATAGACTAGACTATAGACTAGACTATAGACTAGACTATAGACTAGACTATAGAAGACTAGACTATAGACTAGAACTATAGACTAGACTATAGAACTAGGAATATAGACTAGACTAATAGACTAGACTATAGACTAAGACTATAGACTAGACTATAGACTAGACTATAGACTAGACTATAGACTAAGACTATAGACTAGACTATAGACTAGACTATAGACTAGACTATAGACTAGACTATAGGACTAAGACCTATAGACTTAGACTATAGACTAGACTATAGACTAAGACTATAAGACTAGACTATCACTAGACTAATAGGACCTAGAACTATGAACTAGCTATAGACTAGACAAAAGAACTAGACGATAGACTAGACTATAGACTAGACTATAGACTAGACTATAGTACCTAGACTATAGACATAGACTACTAGACTAGACCTAGACTATAGACTAGACTATAGAATAGACTAGACTAGACTATAGACTAGACTATAGACTAGACTATAGACTAACTATAGACTAGACTATAGACTAGACTATAGACTAGACATAGACTATACTATAGACTGACTATAGACAACTATAAGACTAGACTATAGACTAGACTATAGACTAGACTATAGACTAGACTATAGACTAGACTATAGACTAGACTATAGACTAGACTATAGACTAGACTAGAGACTAGACTATAGACTAGACTATAGACTAGACTATAGACTAGACTATAGACTAGACTATAGACTAGACTATAGACTAGACTATAGACTAGACTAGAGACTAGACTATAGACTAGGCTAGAGACTAGACTATAGACTAGACTATAGACTAGACTATAGACTAGGCTATAGACTAGACTATAGACTGGACTATAGACTGGACTATAGAATTCACTTACATATAGATACGTTGTTTATTACGAACGTTTACAGTAGTTACTATAAAGTTTCTCCCTCTACTGTCATTCAACACGCAATTTGTTCCTAGTTGACCCGCACAAAGTCCATACAAATTTCATGCAAATAACATGCATGCATATGCTAAAGGAAAACAATTTACAATTTAGTTATACACAAATTAGTGGAGACTTTAGTCAATGTTTTAACATATAAGTAGTTGCGCTTTAAAATTTAACGTGAGTTAAATATTTTAAGGATTTTTCCTCTTGTCATAATTTGTCGTCTATTAATGGGTTGTGAAAGAAATGAAAAATGCATAAATTAACAAAAATTACTGGCGAACCTTCAGCACTTCGTAAAATGGCCAGACATATGGTGTGAAGAGTTGTTGGTTTTGGCAAAAGTAATTTTTAATTTTTTCAGTTTTTCGCCAAAGAGGAGGACTAGCTAACTGAATTTATGATGGCGGTCTTTAGTCGGCAGGGTTAACGTACACACATGTAACAGAAACATGAATATTTCTGAACACGTTTGGTTTGTTCCTTTCGCCTTTCAGTTAAGTCAGCAAACTGTGATTGTGTGACATTATCATTTATTTTATGTAGTAAGTTTATAGTTGATTTATACGAGGCTAGTTTTAAACATATCTTATTACTTAAATTTCGTGATGAGCAAAGTACAATCTCAGTCTATTAGTGTACATTTATTAACATATCTTTGTTATTCCATGTAGAAAATTTTGAAATATTAATTTTAGTTTCCACTAAACTAAGTCGTATGAAATGCTTACGTTTCTGAAAATGTCAATTAATATGTTTCTAAAAATCGGTTTAGCAGAAAAAAGTTTGAAGTAAAATGTAATACTACCTCCAAAAACCTCTTAACAACTACAAAATATTTCAAAAAACGTCACATTGTTGCTTGAGAATGCGATTTCTAATTCCAAAATAATCAGCTTTTTATGAACTTTTTCGACTGCCCTCTTATATTAAACTCAACTTAACTAAACTTTATGACCATATTTGCATGAAACATATAAACAACATTCATTCATTGCTTTCTAATAATTGCTGCTACTGCTGGTGTTATTGCTGCTGATGTTATTGTTGCTATAGTTGTTGTCATTGTCGCCGTCATAAACAGCACAAAAACAACATCAAAATCACCAACATCTACATAAAAACACCAACCGTAAAGACCAAACCAAAAACAACTTTGAAAAAAAAACGTAAAAAACTTACAGATTCACTTTCACTCTTGTGGAGGAGCTCTATCTATAGCTACAGCTCAAGCACGCGTTTTAAAGTTTAAACTTTAATAAAAAAATCAAAAATTTAAAGCACCTCTGGTGCTGTCTGTGATGATGATGGTTAATGATACATGATGAACAAAACCTCATAATGACGTTGACTAGAGGATGACTGCTGTTACAAGTTTTCGGGTGAAATCAATATTTTTCTTTAAATATTTTTGTTATTGTTATTATTTAAGTTGTTGTTATTGTTGGTATTTAAATAGTAACGGTTTTTAAATGAT